TCGATTAATCAAGCGACTCAAAACACTCAGGTCACCGGTCACCGGTCAGCAGTATTACATGTACGTGTTTTATTTTAATACTCACATGTGTTGGCAATTTCAGAAATCCAAACAAAGAATCCGACGATGACGTCAGTGATAATGCCTGGCCTCGCTTTGACTTAGAAGAACAGCAGTATATTATCTTTGAAACCCCCGACAACGGGATTGGTCAAAAGTTGAAATCTAGGAAATGCGCGTTCTGGAGAGATTTATATCCCAAAGTGAAAGACGCGACAGGTGCGTACTAACTTTAATGGTCTATGTCTGACTCACCAGTTACTAGGTTATGCCCAATATTACATGGCCACGGCACGTACTAGTGGTCGTTTGTTTGGAAAACAGGAAACACATATAAACATGAAGAATATTGAATAAAGCAATTGTCAATTTTCTTCTGTAAATATACTTGTGAATCTACTCCCTCCACCCCCTCTCGTCATTCACGCACAATGGTCCACCCAACCCAGTGCTACGGTGTAACCGTAAATAATGTTCTTTTCACGTAGCTCTTGTGCGAGGCGAATATGTGACGTACTAGTTTAATCGAAAATAAGTACGTAAGTATGTATGTATTCGATCAATCACACAGGGCGAGTTCGTTTTCACTGACACTTTTTTTTTTTACTTTTATTTGCAGCCGAACAAAGAAGCATTGATGACCCAGTGACCTGTTTCGGTCAATGTGTCCAGTACACCCTGGTTACTTTGTTGATAACAAGTGTTGTATCTATGGTGGGTATCGAGGTGTGTCCTCTTGTGCAAACGTGTTTCTACCAAAGTTTACTCTGACCCCCTAGCATAGCGTGTCCTATCTTTGACCTCCTAGTGCAGAGTATCTTGAACAAATTATTAACCAATCAAGTACTTTGACGTGTCAGTGAAATGTGTTCTAAATTTAACACCCGAGTGCGGCGTGACTTTACATAATTATGACAACTTTAGAATAATAAGTGATATTCAAGTTATTAAGTGCATTCAGTTGCCTGGCACGAATCTTATCTCATTTACTTTGAACGTTATCACAAGCCAAGTCATGATTTTTGAGAAAGTTGGTGACACATTAGAGGACAGTGTCCATTGGTAGATAATATACAGCACTCTTTTGTGGGTTAACATACCGTTTTGGGGGGAAATTGACCAAATATTATACAAAAATTGCTATTTTTACAATGTTAAAGCAAAACACTCCCATTGATATCTATGTAACACGAAAATTTAGAATGCGACTTCGTCTTGGAAACAAGTACTGAACAATAGGCAAAGTAGGCAAAGCAAAGCCCAGTGTCTGTGGAAATAGGGGCATGGCACATTTACGTAACTACGCCGGATCACTAGCTGTCTTTGGTTATTCTCAGGATCATCATATCGATGACACTTGAGCATGGGAGCACAAGGTGAATCATCGAATAAAATTAACAAACCGTCGAGAAGAAAACCACTATTTTTGTGACAAATGAACATGTACTCAAGTGAGAGACAACATAGAAGAGAAAACTAATTGATGCTATTTGAAATGGCTGCTTCCTAGATAGGTTACGCAGGGCAGTCCGGTGAGTTACTATTGTTTAGGCTTATGTTTCACAAATCAAAGAATGCAAGTAAATTTCATTACCAATGTATCCCAAACTATGTCTAGTATGTATTTGCTCTGAATAGTAATACCGAAACTGAAGTGGTTCTAGTTTCAATTCGCCAGGAAAACAGGTCCCCTTTCCAATGCAAGAATGATCTGGTGAATTGCTACGTAAATACATAGACGGCGCAGAATTCTGTGTCATCACTGAATGGTTGTCCCTATGATTTCAGTACATTGCCATGGGAACTCGCATACACAGACTGACTCGTACGGACTCACTAGTCTATTATTCGTATATATTTTTTTCTATTTTTAAGTCTCACGATAATAGGCTGTATTTAGCTTAATTTTCGATATGCAGAATCATGATATACACTTCGTGACTTTGAAATATGGACAATACGAGCTTCAAATAATAGATAGACAATTACATTTCACATTGAAACAAAATTTGTAATATGTTATTTTCGTATATTTAATCTAAATTAATCTAAATCTTTGCAATTACTTTATTTTTGTTGTTTTGTTGTAATTATTACAATTTTAATAAATATTGTAAACATCAAAATTAGAATCCCAATAGTTTTGGTATTACTATTCAAAATGTTACACCATTTTCTGAATATATGTTAGACACAGCGTTGAGTACTTTGCTAATGATATTCACTTGCATTCCTTTATTTGTAAAACATAACCCTAAGAAATAGTTATTCACCGGGCATCCCTGTCTGATTCAATTTTGGGGTAGTCATTTTAAATTATCTACAACACATCATTTATTTCTCGATTCTTGTATTTTTCACTTGAGTGCGTGTTCATTTTTCTCGACAATATCATGATTGTGTGTTTTTTTTCTTGACGCTTCCTCTTTTTGGTCGATTGTTTTCATGTGCTTAAGTGCCCTCTCCATGACCCCTAGTTCCGCGTTCATAAATGCGAATTGGCGCGGTAATTTAACGCACCTTTCTCCTCAGTTTTACTACATCATCATTACCACCCTATGCAAACGTGCACCCAGATGTAATAGCTAATAATAAAGTCGCTGTTGTCATGTTTGTGCATCATATCGGATATAAGGTTTTGTGTTTGTAAATGATTTACTTATTGCATCATTTGTCCCCCAACAGCAGTTCTTGCACGTGACCCATAACCACGTAATGTTGACACAATGTGTAGTCCAAACTGATTGGTTTCCATAGAAACAAACAATCCGGAATTCCCATGCATTTAATATATTGGTCGGTTTGAAATGCAAAGGGAATATTAATCATGATTTCCATTTGGAACTAAAATATATCAAATCTCATAACTGAAATTTGACTTTCGGAAAAAACAGTCTAAGGAAATCCTTTGCTCTACCGTGATCAAAATAGACACGGCGAAGAAGAAAGATAAATGGCCCTATTGCCGATGTTGTGTTTTTTCCAAGTTCATCATCCATGATAACTATTGTCAAAGCACTAACGAAAAAAATATATTATATTAAACGTTATGTTTTTTTTTTCTTTTTAGGTTTTATGAAGTCTACAAAAAAATATTGAGAAGGGAATTCTTTAATATACCAGTAGTACGTGATGATATTTTAGTGTGACATAGTGAGATAGACTTATCCTCGATTTTGCACGTAATCAGATTTGTTTTGACAACATTAAATTAGGGTCACCAATCATTTATAGAGTTAGGAATTCACAAATATCCTAGAATTCACACATTTTCACTACAAAAATACAACGTTCATTGTTATCGGGAATTGTTCTCACCAGTTATTACCAAACGCTTCAGCGTGGTATTAAGAGTTTGTTTTCAGGGGTGGGTGATACCAAGGTGGGAAATGGATGCACATATGGGGTTAATTCCTTGAATTGCAATATAGAGGGTTCAAGCTGAAATACAATATATAGTGTTTTCATGTTTCGTCTGATATTTCTGTGGTATTCTGCTGCTGTAAGTAATGCACGATTTGTTCCGAAATTCAGTATATTGTGTGTATTCCAGGGTTATTCGTTTTTTGCTGAAAACACCCCTATTTTTTTAGTGGCAGAGTCGAATAGTCTCACTCCCACTGGGAAATCTGCATTGTTGCTTGAATGTGAGTTAGTTAAACACCTTTTCCAGACCGGCGAAAGAGTATACAACAGCCAATTTTAACAGCCTGTCACGTGATTTTAGTCTGAATGTCAACATGAAGAGGCTAGTCCATT